AATCCCAAAAGTTTTCTTTTTCTTTTTACACTACTTCTTACATTTATTAGTGCATGCTATTTCGAAAATTCCCTTAAAGTTATTTTTTCTTGCGATTTTTCATTCAAAAAATTGTTTAAAAATATATTTGACTTTCCTTAGTAACTTGAATCTTCCCCATTATGTGCTTAATTTGTTTCTTGTTTGCTCTTTTTTTTCAAACTAGTTGAGTTATTTCCTTTTTATATTTCCCCATATTTTGTGTGTGTGTTCGCTGGCTGCCACATGTGTGGAATCGCCTTCATGTGATGATCAAAATGACTTTCAATGGGGTAGCTGGGTGAAGGATTAGTTCAGAACGGTTAAACATTCGTGGAACCAAGAATGTGTGGTAATAAAATCAAGACACCAACCTTATAGCCTAGATACCAAAAACAGGTGTTTTCCATTTACTATTTGTTTTCTTCATTTAAATCCATATCTATACCTATCTATATATTATTACTTCCGTTCTGAATTAACTATCGCTGAAATGAGTTTATCTAGACGTGTTGTAGTGTGTAGATTCACTCATTTCAGCGACAATTAATTCCGGACAGAGAGAGTATATACTAGTATATACCAATATAAAAAGATCCAAAGAGACAGATCCAACTAATTTGGTCCATCAAACCATCCAGCAAAGTAGTGGAGCAGTATATGGTGCAATCGTCCAGGAGATTAAGGACCGTTTTGTACTTTTTCATACTTGTAATTTCATCCATAAATTTAGGAGCTCGAATACCGAGGCTCATAATTTAGTGAAGCATGCGTTATCGTTAGGGGCTGGCCGCCATGTTTGGTTAGGTCAACTCGGTTCTCTTAATTTCTTCCATGTAAACATTGTGACGACTTAATAAAGCTTCGCGAGATTGTCTAAAAAAACTAATTTGGTCCATCAAACCATACCAATTCAACGACGTAGATTGCTTCAATGATGAGCGGTCAATATGATTAACGAATAGTTAATAGCATACCAAATGTCGATGTGAACTTTAATCATATATTAATGTACAATTAATACCCAATATAATATTGACGTGCAATTGACATCCTACCTTATATCAACATGCATTGCACGTACACATTTTGTAATAGTAGACTTAAGGGTACTTGTAAAATTGGTAGAGAGCAAAATAGGGTAACACATTTTCTGGCACATTATAGCCGTACCGAGTGTCGCACTGCGGTATGGCTGAGCTCGAGTCCTCCATGTTGTGAGGAGCAGTTGTTTCGAGATTGTAACCCTATAATTTTAGAATAAACTCCTTTTCACCCTGCAAAAAAAACAGTAGACTTAAGGGTACTTTTTTTTGAGGAAAAGACTTAAGGGTACTTGTGTTTACATAGAAAAACTAAAAGCAGAATAGAGCGAAGAAGAGACGAAGGACTGCACATTTGATGCCGCATGCAAGACAAAAAGTCAGATTTTACATGGATACTGCCCAAATGCATTTATGCATGCGAGTACTTTGCTTGCTCGCGCAGGCACATAGAACAAGCTGAGGACAGGCCGAGCTCACGAGACGTTTGTCAAAATTCCATGCGGCCGAAACGTAAGCACAGCTAGCAGCCTGTACGTCCACCCAGGCCGGTCGGTGGCGTATACCGTCGGTCTCACCCTCACGTGGGCCGGCCTCTAGCTAGCTGAGGCTGAGCTCCCCAATGGAATAGGGGAGTGCGGCCATGCGGGCGCGGAATGTCGCTGCCACCGGAGACAGAGGGAACGGAAACATGCCTCCAAAAAGGCGCAGGGGTGATGGGATGCCACGGGCATGGAATGTAGTTTCCCGTGCTGGCAGTCTCTGGCAGCGTCACATTCTCCTCCACCCGGATTTCCGGCGAGCACGGTGCGTAGCGTGCCTTGTTTCATAGGATCCGCGTGCAAAGGAATCCGCCGTCCGTCCTCGCGCGTGTCAGTTAGCCAGGCCCGCCGGGGGAGACGAGCCAGCGCTCATCGCATCATCGCATGCATGCATGTGATCCGTCCGCGGAGCTAGGGCGTTGGATTGCGAGTACGCCTACGCAGAGGCCGCATGCCCATGCATGCGTGCATGCAAGGTTCCGGGCGGGCGGCCAATGGGGGAGCGCCCTGGCTGGCGGTCACGAGAGTACGTTCGCGCGTGCATGGACGGGTGCGCGCGGGCGTACGGCGAGCTCTGCTCTGCCGCTCCGCCCCATGGCCTAGGCATGCGTCGACACGGTCATGTGACCGAGGTCCAAGTACGCCTAGCTAGCTGTGACCGCTGAGGCCGATCGATCGATGGACGCCCCCATTGGAGATTGGACGGGGGCGCAGCGCACGCTTATCGATCGATCCATCCATCGAGCTGACCACGTCCGGACACAGGCTCATCCATCCACAGAGCAGATAGAGGCAAGATGGTTATTGCCGGACACGGTGCCACCTTTGGCAGGAGCCCGTGATTTCTACATCTACGTAGTCGAAAAGAAAGGCTGGCTGGAATGGTCGATCAAATACAAATGAAATTGGCGTGTAGTTGTAAGTTGGATCTATTCATACCTCAAGTTTCGCCCTCTAATAAGTAGGTCTCTGGGCTCAACAAACACCCAATCTATGCAACGCAACGCAATGCATGACCGTTGTCACCTGGCCATTGATCAATTTCCTTTCCTACGGAGACCGTGGTCGTACGTACGTGAATAAATCCCGGTCCTCCACCAACAGTCCAAGACCACGACCCAATCAATCAGTACCAAGAAGACGCGTACGTACGTCCCACTCGGATTAAACAAACTACTCCTACAAGCAGGCATCCCTATCGGCGTTCGGCATCGCATGCAAGCCCCGCCGATCTCCCCCCGGATATACGGACGGAATTCCGGCCGGTCGAGAGCTCCCTCGTCCTTGGCACGCCCTGATCCCCCACCACCATCGATCCATCGTTGCCCTCCCATCCCTCTGACGGCCTCGACCACCGCCGGAGGGGAGCTCAAGCCCACACGCCACCGAACGTGCGCGCGCCATCCCGACGTAAATAGGACGCGCGCATGTGTGTCTCCAGTGCCAGACATACAGAGAATGATGAGTTGGAGGCGGAGCCGTCGACCAGACTCTACGCGTGGGTGGTGGTGTGTGTGTGTATGTATGCGACGTACGTACATGCCATGTTAGTGGTGGCGCCCGCCGGCGAATGAGCCAGGCGACCCGTGCGTCGACGCGGGGGAAAGGGCCGCGCGGCCCGTGCCATGCATGCCGCCACCATCGACGAGCCGGTGCCAGCCAGCAAGCCTACAACGTACGTACAGTACACGGGCATATTAATTCCAACTTCCCAACTTGTCCACTTTCGGTTTTACTTTATTTCCTTTCCCAAAAGAGGGTTGGCGCTTCCCGAAAATGTTTGGACTAGATTAATGCACATCGCTCTCCCCGGCCCGACTGCCGAAAGAGGAGCGGTTCAAACCAGTCTCTGCCAAGCTTTCCTTTTCCGTCCGGGAAAAAAAACTGTTGGGCGCCAAAATGACCTATATATGAATTTTCTAGACCTTGATCAAATTGTGTTGAATCCAGTGAATACCGCACATACAATTCTACCGGCAGAGGGGCGAGGGGGTGGGGAAGGGGAAGAGGTCGTTGCCATCGTTTGGAATGAATATAGCACGTTGGTCCATCCTATATGCGCAGAGTGCAGATCACAAGCTGACCTTTAATATGGTCCAATGTACCCGAGTCTACGTGTCATTTCTCTTAGTTACTGATAGATATTGGAACCCGGCTAAGAGGGTGATATGAGAAGAAAAAAAACTGTTATTTTAAGAGGACAAAATCTCCATCATTGATTTTGTAGCAAGGTGGAACATATATTGTTTGCACCTTAATTACCTCTTACATGCGTTTGAGTGGGTAACTGGTGGGGCGGTTTCACCGCCACCCATCCCGAGGGATCAAACCCTAGATTTGACATTACTTCTGTAGTGAGGAAACAAACAATGATGCTGAAGTTTTCATGAATGAATTGAATTCAAGCCACACACTTGGGCTTGATGACATTCGAATGACTATGCCCTATAATCAAAAGAGATAAGTCGAGATGATGGATGAGGAGGAGGAGGAGGAGGAGGAGGAGGAGGTCGAGGAGATCGATGAGAGTCAAGCAAAGAGGAAGCGAGTACATGTAACTACAAGATCTCTATATTTGTGATGTGATGCATTTAAATTCTCTAGTTTATGTTGAAATATGATCAATTTGTTCGAATGTTTGAGCGATACTTAAATTTCAAAGTTTGCGAAACTAAAATTTATAGGATAGGGATCTGCTAGCCGTGGAATAGAGATTTCCCTAAAAACAAATAGTAGAGTGGGATAGGAAGTTGTTTTGGTACTTTTAGTATAGATGATCGGCTAGAGATGCCCTTAAACAGTATTCGATGAAGGCACATGCATGACAAATTAGTTTAGCTAGGGAATGAATTAACTTTCCTCCAAAACATGCCTTGTTGCGCGACTTTCATATTGCTGCAGCGACGCCAATGATTTACAGGGTGGAAAGGGTGTCCCATGGTCGACCACCCTGGAATTTTCAGAAATGATATTGTTTTTTAAACCGGTGCATCTCAAAAAACTGTTGTATACATGCATCCGCATGCAAGAAACACACACACAGTGGGCACCGGGTGGGCAGCAACTGACGGTACACTTTACATTTCTCGGCGGCATATATGCATGGAAAGGAAAGAAGAGCCGGAGGAAGAGCCAAACCGAGTTTTGAACCTACTACCTAGAATCGAATCTCTCCTCGTCATCCCATCTTCCATCCAATTCCCTGAACCGCAATAAGGTCACGTGAGCGACCACCTCCGGCGATCACTATATAAAGACGTGTGCGCCCGGAGCTTCTTCATCCTCATCCCCTTGAAGCAGCTCTCTCTCTCTCTCTCTCTCTCTCTCTCTCTCTCTCTCTCCATTTGGATTAGCACGTGAAGGATTAACTGAAGAGACAATCAGAGAGAGGGGCATAATGTCAAGGGAGCGCAAGAAGGCAGCAGCTGCTCTACAGGAGAAGATGCAGATTCTGCGCTCCATCACTCACTCCCACGCGGTAACCCACGCCTCTTTTCGGTGCCCTTGGTGTGATCTTATGCTGCCATTAGCTTGATGTATGTTTTTAAATCTAAAATCGCGGTGCAGCTGAGCAATCCTTCCATAGTCATGGACGCGTCGGAGTACATCAAGGGGCTGAAGCAGAAGATCGCGAGGCTCAACCAGGAGATCGCACGCGAGGAAGACGCGCACTCGCACAAGCAGAACTCTTTCCCCACGGTACGCGCACACACCTATCACCGCACTGTGTATGCATACTGTATGGAGGACCTGAATTATCCGGTTCTGAAGCTTAGGTTATGTACTATGAACGGGAGAGCACTGTGGCACATAGTAATACAGTGGGGTATGATGTAAGATTAATGATTTATAATCAATTATTGCGTGCGTCTGCACTGCACTTGTGCAGGTGAGCGTGGAAGCCCTAGGGCATGGGTTCCTCGTGAACGTGTCCTCCGACAAGAGCTGCCCCGGGCTGCTCGTCGCCGTGCTGGAGGCGTTCGAGGAGCTGGGCCTCACCGTGCTCCAGGCCACGGCGTCCTGCGCCGATACGTTCCGCCTCGAGGCCGTCGGAGGAGGAGAGGTACGTACGTACGTACAAACATACCCCTACGCGACAATGCCTCCTCAATCATGAACTGATCCCCGATCGAACTCAACTGTAAAGCAGACCAACATGTTCTATCCACCTCTGCTGCCCATATATAGTCTGAACCATAAACCTACAATTATCTCATCAATAATTCGATGGTGTCGTGACTAGCGACACGGCGTGCGACCGACTGATGGATGGATCGTAATTATCTGTGCTGATGCTCGGTTATTTTTGTCTCGATATGGTGATGCAGAACCAGGCGGCGAGTGTGGATGAGGATGTCATCAGGCGGGCGGTGCAGCACGCCATCACCAACTGCGGCGCGGAGCAAGGGGATCAGTAGCTAGCTGCTTTACGTGCCCCCACATATTCTTCTCGATCTGCCGGCCCGCCCATTTGCATAGTTTCATGGCTCTTCTCTCGATCTACCGGATGAGCTGCGATGATATATACATCCAGCTCAATCTCTAGCAATTCACCTTGTACTATCTGTTGATGAGTGATGATGGTAATTCTATCGAAATTGCAGGTAGTCCGGCAAGGTGTTATTTATCAGTTACACCGTTTGTGTAGAATTTGCATGTGAGATGGCGAGAAGCTAAGAAGGGCCATCCTCCCTGCTGCACCCCTTTAGGTTTTAGACCAACATCTCCTCGCGTTTTCAGCTGTTCATTCTGTTCTGTAATATGATGCTATCTCTATTAATTCACTTATGTAAGACGTTTTGGCAGTTTAAATTGAACTGCAAAAATGTCTTACAATAGTGGACAGAGGGTGTACTATATCCTGCTGTTATGCGGCTTAATGAAAAGTTGTTACCCCCCACCCCCCCACCCCTCCACCCCCACGCCGCCGGAACCGGATCCTCTAACAGAAAGAAGGAAAGTCACGGTGCTATAGTGCTAGCCTAGTGTAAAATAAAGAAGGGAAGTTAGAGACTACTAGTAGGTAGTTAACAGATTGTTTACGTTTGGTATTTACTATATAGATATAAATAATTTAAATTAATTTTGTTTCACCATCAATTTGTTTGTATCTAATTACTATAAATGTACAGAGTAGATCATCAGTTTGCAAATTAATTTAAATCGTTTTATCCATAATCATATGGATAGAAACAGGGAAAGTTAGAGTATTGTAGCTTCTCTAACTTTTTTTCTTAATATTAGAGGATCCAGTTCCCACGCCGCCACACACACCGCCCCTCAAAGACATATGAGAAAACAAAGGAAATATTAGTATGAGTTACTCATCTGGCTTGTTGCTTGTACGACATAGTTCTTTTTTTCATGGGCGGTTTTGCCTTATCCACACGCATGACAACAGAGAGAGACGCATCTCCTAGGTTGGTTAGAACGTTGCATACCACCGGAGAAGTAACGGTTCCTGAGATTTAGGCAGCTCAAGAATCATGTTGTTGTTAGTGGACTGTTACAACATGGACCCTATAAAAGGAGACATCCCTTTCGATGAGAGAATTCAACTCAACAATATCCACACTCCAGTCTCTACGTACTATTGTTTTCGCCACCAATTGCCTCAGAACGGGCCAGGGGTAAGTAACACTTTCTGTTCTTAAATCAAGAAAAAAGACATGCGTGCTCGTAGACATGAGACAAACATATCGCTATGCGTTCCAGATGCTTGTATATTATCTTCGACCGAAGTCGTTGTTGGAGATGTGCCCTAGAGGCAATCATATAGATAATTATATTTTCTCGTAGCCATTAGTTATTAATTATTGTCCCTGAATATCATCATGACATATCAGGAGAGTAACACATTTTGTTCAATGATAGCTAAGTTCCACATGTCAGAAAGTAGGGGGCTTCTCTCATGGGACCGCTATGTAAAACTAGGTGAGGAGATGCGATGAAGGGTTTATCTCAAATCAAATTTAGGGCCATCATTTCTAGATAGTGAGCGACCGGCCAACAATGAACCACGCCAGACAAAGTACCGATCCCCGCTGGAAACCCCCCTCCTTTAGATGATAGAAGTACTTGACTAGTGTGTCTGTTCGAAGACAAGATCTCCTTGAGGCTCTGCCTCTCTCGACATAATCTGAGCATTTTGAGTCCCCTCAGATCCATCCCGAATATCCAAGGCCTTCACGGATCCGCTGGAGACATCTACCCTCGAGTTATAGTGATAGTGGACGTTTGCATGCCACGTTGGGGGCTTATATAGGCTAGGAGTCTTTGACAAATGCATGGTCGTTGTATTTTTTATCTTTGAGAAATGCATGGTCGTTGTAAGTAGGAAGAGCACATTGGTAAAATTTTGTTCACACATACAGGGGATCTATAGTCCATGATGGGCCTCTTATCATACGGGTCTATTATGGACTTGCGCCTGTTTTCTTATGGAAAACACCATCCTTCAGCCGGCTGATGCACGCGTAGCATCCGCGGGTTGCATAGTCGTCGGATCAATCCTGATCGAGTGCTCACGCTAGCCATAAATCACGTTCACTCAGTTTTTTTCCCGCAACAAGGGTCTTGTTTTAGTAGATTTTTGCAACATAGGACTAGTTTCAGAAAGAAAGAAAAATAATTCAATGGTGAAGGTTTTTCTGCAATATAATAGGGGTCTTGTTTCAAAAGGTTTATGCAATAGACGTTTTGTTTCAGAAAGAAAAAAAAATGTTCGGTGGTGAAGGGTTTTTTTTCGGGCAACACGGGTATTGTTTCAGAAAGGTAGCCCCTATTGCAGAAAGCGTTGGAGGAGCGCCCGACGTTGGAGAGTGAGAGATAGGACATTGCAACATGAGACATGTTTCAGAAACATGGCTCCTGTTGCAGAAAACGCCAAAGTAGCACCCGCCGTGAGAGGTCGTGGCCGTCATGCTAGAGTGGAGCTCGCGGCTGCTCGCAAGGCTGAGGTGGAGGAGGAGCAACAACTCCATCGAGCGGCGACGCTCCATGGCCAGGACTCTCGGGCCATGGCGAGGCGGTGATGCGGCGTCTATGCTCTAGCCTAGGGTGTGGCCTCTCTCGGCCAACTACTATCTCGGCGGACCTTTGCAACAAGGTCTTTGTTGTAAAGCCCCTAAGCGCAGCAGGGTAGCTGTTGCAAAGGTCCTCGACCGACTAGGCGACAGATCGAACAGCTGTTTCAGACTTCATTTGACGGTTGCCAAAGCGGCGGATCTAATTGATTTATCATTCGGCGGACGCGTATCACTGCCTTCTTATTGCCTCTTCTTTTGACCTTTCCTTTTCATTTAATTTTCTCTTTTGACTTCTTGACCATGCAACTTGCTCGGACTTTCATTGAATTACCTTGAGTTTGACAGTTTGCCGCCTAGGATTAGGTGGGACCCTTGTGCTTAGACCTGTGTGGAATTTAACGTAGGATGAGAGTTTTGTTAATAGTCTAAATCTCAGTCGACTGAGACTTGGTTAAGTCTCAGTCAGCACTATTACTCATCAGATCTTACATTGAGATGCGTTCAAAATTTTCTTTTCAGTTTTTTTACATGTTATATCACTTGACTGAGACTTGTTAAGTCTCAGTCGACTGAGACCTAGCCACACCCTTTTGTTAAATGTACTCCAGCTTGATTTCTTCACCTTCTTTGACATGCAGACTATTACACATTTTGACGAAACCTCGTCAGAGGGCGGGGAGCTCCCGCATTGCATTAAGAAAAAGAGAATTGATCCAGTTAATAAGGAAAACCGGACCCAAAAACCGTACATGGCACGGTTAATCAAGGAAAACCGGCGAAGACCACACACACCCTACTAGCACTCAAGGAACATCGTTCGGACTATTACACATTCCAAGTTGTTATTTCTCCTTGAGAGGGTTTGTCATATCAGAAAACATATTTCTTTTTTAAGAGGGGAGGGTATTGTTGATGCTTCCGTGATTTTCCTACAAATTTTTTAGGCATCCTTTCGTGGACATCTAGTTCGGTTGGCTCCTCCCTTTAAGGTAAGAATCTGTGAGTATGCTCTCAGGTGGGCAATCTTACGTCGATAAGGGCACCATGGTGGCAAACCAACTTTGGTCTCCGCCTCCGATGCGATGGGCATGTTGATGCATGTTTTCATACCATTTTCTAGTTCGGAACTGTTGGGGTGGTATACCATTTTCATGTTGATGCATGTTTTGTTCTCTGCTTGGGATGTGTTGGCTAGATGCCTAAGTGTGGAAGAAGCTGAGCTTCAAGCATGTATATAAATGGCCTCCATTAGTTGTTGATCTTCACATTCCGTTTTACATGAAACCGATTGTTTGTATGTAGCGCTTTCGATCTTCCCCGGGGCTGGATATGTCTGCGTTCCTTGATTTGAAGAGAAACATATTACAGTTATGGAGTGCCTCCAAAATATTTAGATCGTCAAGGTGAATCGAGTTGCGAACTTGCCATGCGATTGCTAGTTTTTGTAAGGGTGTTGAGGTGTGTGAGTTGTTGTACGTACAGTGAGGTTCCTCACTGCATGTTTGAACTTATCGGAAATGATTATATGAATATATTGGTTTTTTTAGAAAAAGAGGATTACCTCCGATCTCTGCATCTGGGCGATGCTTGCGGCTATTTCATTAATTATTCATAAAGACCTTACAAAATAGTACAACAGGTAGTCTCAAGCCACCATCTTAGCAACATCTGTCGCTACTCTTATCCACTTGATGAAGGGGTACCGATAGTCCGAGCCTATACCAAACAGACATCGCACAAATGCCTAATCATCTAAAGTCAGATGCTCCAACCAAGCCACATACTGGGTTTGGAGCACAAACCGGTCGGACGCACTCTCATGTGCCATCACCGTCATCTTCCACCAATCCATCTTTGGAGCAGAAACTAACGCATCGACCTTGCCAGGCCTCTTTGCCATCGACGCCACTATGACGCCAGACAACATCCTCCTCCTGCGCGAGTCCATCTCCGCACATCGGATGCCGAGTCTCCACAGCGCCACGCCACTGAGATCTGCCGACATCAATGTGTAAGATGCAGAACCGCTCACCAAAGAAGCCGTCCTCTGGTCCCTCGAGCTCGTGTGTACCTCCAAGAATGACGCCCCCAAAGGGGAAACGACACCAGAGCGCATCCCATCTGCTGATCTAGGGTTTCCCCCGGAGGTAGCAGAGAGTGGCCTTGAACTTCTCCACGGCAATGCCTTCAAGAAGGGAACGACACGCAGACAGCGCCGCCACCACGGGCCTTGGCAGTAGCCGAAAGCATGTACACCTAGATCTGTTCTATTAGAAGGGAGAGAGGGATATTGGTGTGGAATATGATGGATGTACTACTGAGCCTCGAGGGCGAGTATATATTGAGTACAAGACTTGGAGGGCAAGAAGTCTCTCCTGGAGATAAGGTAGGAGA